ACCTACTTAGAACAAGCTTAGCAAAGCACAGGGACCTCGGTTCAATCCCCCAGCACCACATGCCAGCCAGCCCTGGTGGGTTGAGCTGGACACACACACACACACACACACACACAAATAAATAATTAAAAAAGAAAAGAAAAGAAAAAGCCAGCCAGTTGTGGTACACACACTGCAACCCCAGCACCCAAGAAGCTGAGGCAGGAGGGTCGCCACAAGTTCGTGGCCAGCCTGGCTATATAGTGAGTTCAGGCCAGCCTGAGCTACATATTGAGAACCCTGTTTCTAAATAAATAAATAAATAAAGGAAAAAAGAAAAAAAAAGTCTGGTTTTATTTATTTCTTAAATCAACATTATTTTCTTACATCAACATACTAAGTTTTTCCCAAAGTTTTAAAAACAAAAGGTTGACCTATCCATAACCATATAAACCTTTAATGCATATATATTCAGAAAATCTGGAAAATACAAAAAAGAGGAAGAAAAAAAAAGAACTCCCAAAGGTAAGGGTTTCAATATTTTAATCATTTCTTTTTGATATTTTGTGTACAGAGATTTTGCTTCACATTTATTTTTAACTACTGTAATAATAAATTTCTTGTAATTAGATAAAAACTATCTCATCTTTTATCATTGCTGATAGGTTCTGGCCCTGGTATGAATTGCTGAATTGTTATGGTGGTCACCTAATATGGTTGAAGCCTTTAAAACAACAGCTTCTCTTCCCAGAGACCACCTCCCCTCTTCTTCTTCAACGCAGCCCAGGGTGCAATTTCCTGTCACCTTTCCTGCCACCTCAGGGAAGACCCCAATCAGCTCCTCAGACATTTCTAAACATCCCCCTCAAACTCCACCCCTAACATAAGGCCATAAAGGCCTGGCCTCCCTTTGTTCCAATTCAGAGAATCCCTTCTCTTCCCCAGATTGTCTCTGTGTCCTCAAAGACAATAAATAAAGCCCCTTTCCCTTTTTACTTCCGCCTATTTCTCTGCTGCAACACCATCCAAAAAACCTATCAATTGCATAAGAATTTTTCCATGTGACAAGCCTTCCTTAACTACCTTAAACAGCTGCATCCTCATCAGTGACCAGTTCTCTGCCCTACTCTCTGGATACACAGCTTGTTTAGAAATTTTTCCTTCCATAAATCAAAGTGTGGTGAACAATCTTTATAATACAAAGCTTTTTCTACAGTTGAGAATTATCTTCTTGGGCTGGTGAGATGGCTCAGTAGACTAAAGCACCTACTTAGAACAAGCTTAGCTAAAACACAGGGACCACACGGTTCAATCCCCCAGCACCACATGCCAGCCAGTCCCACCCCCTGGTGGGCTGAGCTGGCCACACACACACACACACACAACACACATAAAAATTAAAAAAAAAAGAATTATCTTCTTGGAGTAGAGTCTCTGAAACAGAGTATTATGGGTTCTTAACATAGAAAACAGGCCTGAGTCCAATTAAAATTTAAATATAAGCCCGGGACCGCTTGACCATACTCACGCAGGAGCGGAAAAACAGCCAGGAGCCTTAGAAGTATAGAGGGGTGTTTTGTTTTGTTTTTTTGTGTTTTTTTGTGTTTTTTTTTTTTTTTTTTAGGTTCTGAGCAGAATATATTTATTGAGGGAAAGAAAGCTCCTGTCCCGAGAGAGGGACAGGAGGGGGGCCCGAGTGGGTAGTTCCCCCTAGAGATTTTAAAGGTAGAAACCACATCCTGTTTGGCAGACAAATTTGTCATTTAACATAGAACAGGACATTTAGGAACAGAGTGACCATTGCTCAGCATACATTTTTTTCTGGGAGCATCGTTTTCTGGGAAGTCTCAATCTACTGATGATTTATCCATGGTACACCAAGCCTCCTTGCAGTCTTACAAGGAAGCAGGGTCACAGAAAATTGAGCAGAGTAATTTTTTATATTTAGTTTTACATTAACTCATCACATTACTTTTACATTAACCCTTCACAAGAGTTGCCATCAAACAGAGTCAACATTTTTGTAATTTATTATCTTTATAAGAAACTCTTCCCCAAAGCCTATCTTCAAACCCAGATTGGAGACTCGTTTTGGAGCTTCTGGTATACCTCCTCCAAGGGCAAAGAGAAGGACTCCCAGGATCCAACGGGCCTTCTGTTAGACAGAGACAAGTAGTCTTCCAAGGAAAATAATTCAAAATCAACACTTTAGACAAAAAAATCAAAGGCTGGAAAAGAGTCGTTCAGTCATTTCCTCCATATATGGGTAGTATGCACTCAACAACCTCTTTGAGACTCCAGGAGCTCTGAAATTAGGCCATTTGTCTTTTGTGTCTTGAGACAGGGTTTCACCATGTACCCCAGACTGGCCTCAAACTCACAGCAACCCTTCTGCCTCAGCCTCCTGAGTGCTGGGATTACAGGCATGGGCCAGTGTTAAAACTTACTGTTGGGATACGGGAGTTACTGTATTATTTGGTCCATGTAAAAAATGAGTATGTTTGAAAAACGTTCTCTCATAAAGTGTTTTAAAGTGAGACAACCTGGGGCCCTCCGGATCCTGAATAGACCCAGAGCGCAGGCCCAGCAAGGAACCCTTCAGCAGAACTCCCTGCAAAGAGGCTAGAGGCAAGACCCACCT